CAAACGTAAGACAGCTACCTGAGTCTGGGATCAAACTTAAGTCACGAACAGATTTTAGCCACTGCACCACAAGGGTACCAATAATATGACCTCTTTCTCTGCCCCTCAGGAAACAGATTGTTTCCACTGGTATTCAGTCTGCAGCTAGAATAATTCGGATCCAAAAAAATTATTCCCGATGCCACTGTACAAAAATCTCTGTGGTTCCTGATCCTTCATTCTGAAATGCCAGATGAAGGAAGAGTGAAAAGTGGCAGAAGAAACACAAAGATATGCAGGTGACATCACATTAGTGGCAAAAAGCAAAAATGTCTGGAACCTTCTATTGATAGAGGTTAAAGATGAATGTGGAAAAGTAGGGTTAGAGCTGCACGTTAGGAACACAAAAATAACAACTACAGAAAAATTACGCCGGCTTTCAACAAAGTTAGAATTCACTTTCCATCAATCCCTATGCCCTGCTATAACTATGACATACCATCTTCCTGTTGATACAGTCTGCTATGGATTGCAAATCTGTGACATTCTGGCATACTAGTTACATTGAGTACTCAGTGTTTCTCCTTATCCCCTCCTCCCTGCCCATTAAGTGAATGTAAACAATGCATATAATGAGAGAATTCCCATAAACATATAAATATATCCTGAGAAAAAGTGACAATTTTTGGGTTTTGTGAGTATTTTGTTTCTGCCATGACAGGACTTGGGTTCTTTTGACAGTGATCAGTAGGATTTGAGAACCATGAACTGCATCACTATAAGGTCCCATGGCACTGCGAAAACACTAACTGCGTGATGAAGGTACCCCTGCAAAACCGGTGACTAAACTTCTCCTTAAAATTGGCTGATTTTGGTTATTTAAGCACAGTGCATGAGAAGGCAGGGTGGGGGTGGGGGAATGTCTTGGGACAGTCCTGGATGGAATAGACTATAGACAGCTAAACATAAAAGGGAACATGCTACTTAGGATCAAAGCGTTAAGGTCATTTCTGTCTGTGTCAAACATTAGTGTTAAGTTCTTGTGTGAGGGGAGAACTTTCTTACACGTTTTAATGGTCTAGGTTGTGTTACTCCTAAACGCCGTCTTTGACATAATTGAATCTTTGCCTTAAAAGCTGCCGCCTGGAAAACAGCATTCCACGGTTGGCATGCTGTATACAGTATTTAATTTGGCAGCAAGAAGAACAATAGGTATAGACATGAAAGAGTTGATGGATCTTAGGTTTCAGAAGCTTCACAAATTGAGATTAATCTTTTCTGTGTCAATAAAATCCAATATAAAGGAATCAATGCCTTTTCCAAATTAGTGTGCAATATTAGCATGCAGGTGAATTTATTACTAATTTACCTCAGTTCCTTCAGATGTAGGTACTGCAGAGTTAAGACAAAAAAGACTAAAGTGAGCTTAAAAAGAGAGGGGGTGGGTGGGGAGAGAAATAAACAGGCACTGGTTCCAAAAAAATAAGCGATTTAATGTAACATTTTCAGCCACTAGAAATAGAGGCTTGTAGCTCAGTTAATAAATGAATGTAGTTACGATAAAGCAAATATTCTCTAAGGAGAACTTTTCAACATCAAGAGCTGCAATGGAATGGACTGCCTTGAAGGATGGTGGACTCTCCTTTACTGGAAGTTCTAGACAGAAGTTAGATGGCCACTTGTCAGGGTTGCTTTAACTGTGGATTTTCTACATCACTAAGAGATGGAATCAGTTACCCTTGGAGGTCCTTTCCCACTGTATGAGTTTATAAACCCATCTAATTAATTCTTAAAAGGCATGTCCAAAATAAATGGGTTGGCTTTTCCATTCTTGCTGGCATATTGAGTGCAGCACCTTAAAAGCGTTATCTTTTAACATTTTAAATACCGTATATACTCGAGTTTAAGCCGACCCGAATATAAGCCGAGGCACCCAATTTTACCACAAAAAAACTGGGAAAACTTACTGACTCTAGTATAAGCCAAGAATGGAAAATACAGCAGTTACTGGTAAATTTCAAAAATAAAAATAGACACCAATAAAATTACATTAATTGAGGCAGTAGGTTAAATGTTTTTAAAGATACTGCCCTTCTGAGCTGTGAGACACACTTCACTGCCTGTGGAAGGAGGACTCATACCGCCTGCTGAACTTATCTACTGCTCTACTGCTGCGTAACTAGAGGGAGAGAGACAGAGTATGGAGGACGGAGGTGGGAGGAGGAAGGTGGGTACATAGAATATACAGGAGGAGGATGGGAGTGTCCTGGAAGCGGAAATGCAGTGTACTTAACCCAGGTCATCGGACTACCCACAGAAGCTGCAGGTGCCCGTAGATGAGTGGGGGAGTCCGGACAACACTCACACAGCAGGGGAGAACATGTAATTTTGACATTGAGTCGAGTATAAGTTAAGGGGGTGTTTTTTCAGCAAAAAAAAACTGTGCTGAAAAACTAGGCTTATACTCGAGTATATACAGTATATGCAGAATACATCATGCAAAGGCAGGAGTGGATGAATCCCAAACTGGAATTAAGATTGCTGGAAGAAATATCAGCAACTTCAGATATGCAGATGATACCACTCTGATGGCAGAAAGTGAGGAGGAATTAAAGAACTTCTTAATGAGGGTCTGAAGCTCAACATCAAAAAAACTAAGATCATAGCCACTGGTCCCATCACCTCCTGGCAAACAGAAGGGGAAGATATGGAGGCAGTGACAAATTTTAGTTTCTTGGGCTCCATGATCACTGCAGATGGAGACAGCAGCCACGGAATCAAAAGATGCCTGCTTCTTGGGAGGAAAGTGATGGCAAACCCTGACAGCATCTTAAAAAGCAGAGACAGCACTTTGCCAACAAAAGTCCGCATATTCAAAGCTATGGTTTTCCCTGTAGTGATGTATGGAAGTGAGAGCTGGACCACAAAGAAAGCTGACTGTCGAAGAATTGATGTTTTTGAATTGTGGCGCTGGAGGAGGCTCTTGAGAGTCCCCTGGACTGCAAGGAGAACAAACCTATCCATTCTAAAGGAAATCAACCCTGAGTGCTCACTGGAAGGACAGATCCTGAAGCTGAGGCTCCAATACTTTGGCCATCTCATGAGAAGAGAAGAATCCTTGGAAAAGACCTTGATGTTAGGAAAGTGTGAAGGCAAGAGGAGAAGGGGACGGCACAGGATGAGATGGTTGGACAGTGTCATCGAAGCTACCAGAGTGAATTTGACACAACTCCAGGAGGCAGTGGAAGATAGGAGGGCCTGGCGTGCTCTGGTCCATAGGGTCACGAAGAGTTGGACACGACTAAATGACTAAACAACAATGAATGAGGGTGAAAGAGGAGAGCACAAAAAATGGTCTGAAACTCAACATAAAAAAAACTAAGATCATGGCCACTGGTCCCATCACCTCCTGGCAAATAGAAGGGAAAGATATGGAGGCAGTGACAGATTTTACTTTCTTGGGCTCCATGATCACTGCAGATGGTGACAGCAGCCATGAAATTAAAAGACACCTGCTTCTTGGGAGGAAAGCTATGACAAACCTAGACAGCATCTTAAAAAGCAGAGACATCACCTTGCCGACAGAGGTCCACATAGTCAAAGCTATGTTCTTCCAGTAGTGATGTATGGAAGTGAGAGCTGGACCATAAAGAAGGCTGACTGCTGAAGAATTGATGCTTTTGAATTATGGTGCTGGAGAAGACTCTTGAGAGCCTCCTGGACTGCAAAGAGAACAAACCTATTCATTTTGAAGGAAATCAACCCCTGGAAGGACAGATACTGAAACTGAGGCTCCAGTACTTTGTCCATCTCATGAGAAAAGAAGACTCCCTGGAAAAGACCCTGATGTTGGGAAAGAGTGAAGGCAAGAGGAGATGGGGACGACAGAGGACAAGGTGGTTGGAGAGTTATCATCAAAACTACCAATATGAATTTGACCCAACTCCAGGAGGCAGTGAAAGACAGGAGGGCCTGGCGTGCTCTGGTCCATGGGGTTACGAAGAGTCGAACACGACTTGACTAAACAACAACCATTTATGTGCCTTAAAAGTAACATTCCAAGTTCTGCTCCTGGCAGCTATTCTTAACCCAACTTCAAGCAAAAATCCTGTTGGCTGAGTTCTACCTACCAAACAAAAAATCATGTTATTGTTTGCAGAAGGCTGCTAACAATTAAAGACTTCTTTCACAATATATGAGGCTCAAAATCAAGCCAAAGTGCATAAAATGGCTTTGTCTCTTTTATTATATACAAATATGGATCCACATGAACATGAGTAGAAATCCATTCACTCAGAACTGGTGTCTCCTCCCTCGAGGATATGGAGTACTTTAGAAATGGCATGAGGGTGCTATGTTTCTGACATTTCAGTACAGATCAGAAATACTCATTGTAAACTGCTGCTGCCAAGTTTCCTTCAGTGACCTAAGGCTCCCACATGCATAGAAAAACAACAGACAACATAGTCAACAAAATGTATTTCTTTTTGTATGTGCTGTTACATTTTAGAACAACATTCCTTTTTCATGAGCTGTACATGGTTATGTACAAAATAGGCACTACACCAACTGCAGATTCAGTCGTATCTCCTATTACTCACCTACCCCAACACTCTCTCAACCCAGCAAACTGAGTAGTTGGTAAACTGTACCATAGCCAGCACTGTACATTTGGCCCTCTTTTCTACCATCCTAACATACTATGAAAAGTAATGCTTTCCTCCTCTTCACTGTGTTCCAACATTTATTTAATTCAGGTAATTTCTTCTCCCCACAGTAAAAACCAAACAATTTAAAATTATCCAATTCTCATGTCTTCCAATTGAGATAATCATTTGGATTGTCACTGAAGTTGATCTCAAAACAACACCATTGAGACAAAAAGAAAAGGACACCCAACCAAGATATCCACAATATCCAGAAGGGACATAATGCTAAGTGGCCTGCAAATGTTGCCATCTTCCATGGCAATATATTCAGGTACTATGATCACTGATCAATTAAAAGACATTGCGCATAAATAGTTGTCAATAGAGCTTTAATAAAAAGTACAACTGAACAATCCACAGTAGACTATGTAAAAACATGGAAGACGAATATTCAGCACAAAAACAAACATTGTGGGACAAAGGCATGCTTACACTTGACTCTTAAGTCAAAATTGCATCCAAGTGAAATTAAAAGGAAAACTGAGATATACCTGCATTGCATCCAATTTTGCAACACGACCAAGCTAAAAGAACATGTCAGACAACATAAAATAGGACACCGCATGATAAATTTGTCTGGCTTTTATGTTCAATACGCTGTTTCCAAAACTGACCCCTTTGTTCATTTTAAAGATTGGTTTCAATCTTCAAGATTTCTCGTTGATATAATTATTTTTCCCACTAGGTGGCCCTTAACCAACTGTTTGTTCATTACAATCTATTCAGTGCTTTAAGCACTACAAGGAAAGTCAACAGTTTAAGTGTAAGAGTACAACCCTTCTCTTGTGGGCGCAGCTCTATTGCTAAAAGGGATGCAGCTCTATTGCAGAACACGAAGTCCACTAGGTGTTGGACTGCAATTCAACATTGCTTGCCATCAAAGCCTATTGGAAGGAAGGCACAAAGATATCTGGATGGCACCAGATTCCCCATCCATTCAAAAGCATTTATTATGGCCTTACTTTCTTTCTTCCCGTCCCCCTCCAGCATGTATGCAGCACAGCAATGTAATGTAGGCAATGGGAGGTCTCTGCACCTCTCTCATAGCCTCATTTAGTCCTTGGACTCTAAGCACGTTACCTGAGCTTCAAACTTGGAGGAGGAAGAGGAGGGGGGGAGTGAGGTGGTTGTTACAATGTGTTGTTCACATATCACTACAACAATAATAAACAACCCCAAAGAATATTGTTTTCTTCATTAGGCTGAGTGGAGATATTAACAGAAACAGCTGCATGCTCTTATTTCATTCCTGACTTATAATGACCCTTTCTAGGGCTTTCCAGATAGAGAATACACAGAAGTGGTTTACATTCCCTTCTAGGTATACTGGAGGGAAAAGACTTGAGATGCAGTGTGCAGAAAAAAATGTTTTAAAAACAAAGCTTCAAACCCACTTTGAACTGCATGTATGTGACCTTCACAATACCCTGAAGCATTAATAATAAAAGGCAGCAAGGAATATAGGTACCTTTAATTGTCCTGCCTAAAGCTTGGAGATAAGGTTGCCACCTTTGCGTAATTAATGGAAGAGTCAAGGAAGTGGAGGAGAGAGAGAAATTCCAGTGGCCCCAACTGAATGGAGCCTGCAATCCAAGTAACACGTATTTATTTTATCCCTGTCGTAGAAATTTTGCACCCCTGGAATTTCTCCCACTTGTTTCACTTCACATAAGCAACATTCTCTTAAACAAAGCTTGCTTGAATACATACAGGTCAGGCAACTTGTGTGATGTGTCATCTGAGACCATATCACCTTTATAAAAACCAAAATCATCATCATGCATTTACATACATGAATAACATCTGTTACACAGATTAATTTACTATGTTCCTTTGCACTAATATAGTGAAATACATCATTATGCATATACCCAACAGAATGTAAATTTTTCAAAGGAATCTTTCAAGAGCACTTAGGAAACATACATGAAAATTCCTTAGATTGTTTTGGAGTTAACCTCCAACGTACATTGCACTGGTAGTAGAATGGACTGTGGTTTGTTTGTTTTTTGAGGTTTAATTATGTTCTAGGCCAATGGCCAATATTAAATTCTGAAGCGGTATTTTAAGTGTTAGGCTCACAGTGAAGTCACTGCTTCCTTAAACTGCAGGGTCCAAACTCAACTGACACTGTGATTCAAAGAATGCAAAAGGCAATGGCTTTATCCCTGAACAAAAATGAACCTTCTATGTAGAAGGAAAAAGTCTCTTTCAGCTTCAATTTCTCCTCCCAATATTTCACCATTTCTTTGCATCCTTTCAATGTTTTTTCCTCTGCTCATGTTTTCAGAATGTAAGGGCAGATCCTTCAGAACCAAGTTTAAAATCGGATGGAACATGTAGCAATGAACAAGCCTAAAAAGAAGAACAGAAATTGCTAATGTAGATTTTTACTGCATTTATATTCTGCACTCTCTTTGTTCTCTACTTATGTTATTACACCATTATTTCATGATGGCAGTAACATCCAACATCAAGTGAATGAGATTCATTGTCACCCTATGAGACTTTTCCTCCTTATTCTCCCTCCCCCCGTCCCCAACATCTTTCAAGTCTGATTTAGAATTTTCAAAATATTCTGTTGAAAAAAGTTAACAGTGCTTGTTTCAGTGGTGGATTCACCCTCTGCATACCACCCTATGAATATCCCTTGATACACTTGATGCCAATTTTAAAACTCACTACAAACCTGTTTAAATCGTCCTCTGATTTTCTCAAGATCTTCTTGAAGATTGACATAGACAGGATCCTCACTGGGAAATTTCTCAATCATCTGTATTAATGATTCTAGCACTTTTATCTTTTTACTGAAAAACAATACATATACACAAATAGATTTAAATCAACATTTAATAATACAGTGAGTATTCAGAAAGTATCTATTAATGTTTTGAAAGATGTTTAGTCACACTTCTAATATATTTTTATTAGTTTGGTTATTTCTGCATCATAATGACATTGTGACCAATGCATAGAACTACAACTACTGTATTTTTCCGTGTATACGGTAAAATGACACTTTTCCTAAAATCATTAGAGGAAAAATTGAGGGTCGTTTTGTACATGGAAAGAGGTGGAGGCAAAGGAGCAGTTGCGCTCGGCTGCCTCTTGCAGCTGTCCATTGACTGCCACCGCCGCTGCCCAATCACCTCCTCCACTGCGACTGCTAGGGCTCACCTCCAGCTCATGTCACCGCCTTGTCCCCTGCCCGAAGGAAGCCTGCGAGTGGCGCTGGAAGAGGGCGAATATGGTGGCAGAGGCTGCAGTCAATAGGCAGCAGCGAGAGGCGGCTGATCGCAGCTGCTCCTTTGCCTCTGTCTCTGCCTCTATTATTCTATTTACTTTATTTATTACAGTGGGGTCTTGACTTGAGAACTTAATCCGTATTGGAAGGCGGTTCTCAAGTCAAAAAGTTCTCAGGTCAAATCTGCATTTCCCATAGGAATGCATTGAAAACCATTTGATCCGTATCTGCTCTTTTCCGTCCATAGAAACTAATGGGAAGCTGCTATTCTGCCTTCGACCACTAGAGGGGGATATTTTGTTTCTTTTTTTCTTGAGGTCAAGAAAGGTTCAGGGAAGCCAGGGAAAATACAGTCAAGGCAGTACCAGGCAGTACCAGGCAGTCTGAAGACTCCCAATCCACTCTCTAAACGCTGGGAGGAGTGAGGAAGCAGACAGGCACCCTTTTCACTGGCCAACAGTTAACTGAAAGTTCAAATGTTGCACTTTCGCTGCCTCCCACGTGGTTTTTTTCAGTTCGTAACTCAAATCTAAGTACGT